TTAGGAATGATTTGATGAATTATTTTATAAATTCTTATAGAGACATTGATTCTTTTGAAGCTGTATTATAATCTAGTTTTATTGTATTTATAATCTTTGAATAGTTACATTGCTCGACTAGTTCTATTTTTAATCTCTATGGCTTAGAATGTATTACTTACTAACTTTAGTTTTGAGGGCCACTGGTTTTATCAGCGCAAGCTGTTATGTGTATACCCTCTTTAAATAAAGTCAATTATTATTATTATTATTATTATTATGTTATAAGAAGTTTGGAAGATTTATAAGGGTTTGCTGATGTAATAATGATAATGATAATATAATAGTAATATGGAACCCAACAGGGCACACATGATCCCAGCTTGATGCATCAAGGGGCAATCAGAAAGAAAGCTACTGTACAAATTCAACGGACAGTTAGCAGATGTACCCCCAAATCAATCAGCTTCATTGTTACTATTATTGTGATCTACCCGATATGAAGCGTTTTGTCCATAAAGTTCATGTAGGTTAAAAAAATTAGCTATTTAGCATAGGAGTCTGAAATATTTTAAAAAGGAAAAACGAAAGATATTTGATACTAGGACATCATCAGGGTAAACAATGGTAAATTTTATCATGGTGATGACCCAGTGGAAAAAACATTTGATTTTTACTTTAAAAATATTTTAACCCTGTAAAAAGCTCAACTGCATAGCTTTTCACCATCAACTTTTTTTTTTCAGGCTTTTCATCTGAGATAGATGAAGATTATGAGAAAACAAGAAAGCACATTGTGGCAAAGTATGACAGAGTAAGTTATCCTGAAATATAAAATTCTGAGCACTGTATGGCATCATAGAATGTAATTTTTTTAAATTAATAATGAAGTGAACACGTCACTGTACAACATGACTTGTTTTCCAATGAAAGGAATTGTTGCTGGAAGGAGAATGAACGATCAAAAATGAGATATTCGAATGCAGGAAATGTACATTAAGGTAGCACTTGTTCATGTACATGTATATAAATTGCATTCCTACACTCTTTAATTTTTACTCTTTCCTTCAAGTGAAATTGATTTTATATCTCACTGTCCTTTCAGATTCTGAAAGAAATATCTGAGTTTTTATTTTGTTATTTGTCACACTTGTATGATAGAGTTCTATTTTCAAAGTATTCAGGTTTTTCTGCTATTTAGAAATACTACATGAAAAGTACAGTATTGATAACATTTGAAAAGTTGATTATTGCTACTCGTCAATTTTAAGGGTTATGATGAAAATGCTGAAATTGATGACTGGGAGGATGCAAACTTCTTTGTGTACAAAGTTACTGATAGATACGGATTTCTTCAGTAAGTACCTATTCACATGTACTCTTTGAATTTTGTTTGCTTCAGCATATTCTAATCCCACATTTATTTTATGGTATAAAGTTAGTGAAGTTAGGTGCATATGTGTACATGTGCACAATTGTTTGATGCAAGTTTAATGTAAGGTGTAGCAAACCTTGTTGCTTTGGAAATGTAGGTATAACTGCTGTACGTTTTCCAGAAAACATCTGCATGGTACAGTGTATTAAGACAAGCACAGTATGAAGACGACATGCTTGGTATTGTGTGAATGTGGCTGACACATTCTCAAGTGTATGCACCATTTAACAATTATATGCAGATGGCATCTGTATTTTGTGTATATTCTTGTCATGGTTTTGTCAATATTCAATTGGTAAAAATTTCTTTTATATTGCAGCAAAAATGACCTCCCTGAAGGCCGAGACGATAAGGTACTCATAATCTTAGGGATGCACATACTGACTGTTTGCATGTAAGATAAGAGTTCCACTAGGTAGATGTGTGGTCCATTATCACCTGTTGTTATTAAGCCAGCAGCATGTGAGCAATAGTAAGTGAATCCTGTGTTCTGATTGGCTACCTGAACACATCTTGCCTGCTCAGAATCACCCACCTTGATCCTGTGCTAGAAAAAGATTGCATGGAGTGGACTTACAAAGTTCATATTTTTTGGGAGAATGACAGCAATGAAGTCACAAAAAAGGGATGAACAAAGAACACAAAGAAATCGGTAAACAGTGCTATAGAAACAGTTCGATTCATTATATAAACACCAATGAAGTTCCAGGTGAGCTTTCGCATGAAACATGATATCTTCACACGTGAAAATAACAACTGTCACTGTGGTTACATAATGAATTGTGCCTTTCATATCAAAAGTAAAAATGGTTTGGTTTTTCATGTGTGTTTATATAATAAATGGAATATTGCATGGCCCCTTGAAGATACAAAATTTCTCTTCTCATGTTGAAAAGTACTTTAGCACTCGAAGGGAAATTTCACATCTACTATCCTCTATATATTTTGTATACAAATAAATGTATGTGTGTTTTTTAAAAACCTGCAGTTAACTCACAATACACTTTACAGCTTTTAGCATTAGAGCGTGATAGAGTTCAAAAATGGGTCAAGATGGTAAAGAACTGGGACAAATACATACAGGGGGAAAAGGTAAAAGATTGATTGCTGCTTTATTATTTACTTAAGATTGGACCTTAGTAATATAATTTGCAATGCTTTGAAATTTCTCACATTTAGAAGCCATGCATATAATAAGGTTATTAAATATACTTATTTTAACTTAGTTAATGACTAGGAGCTAGTTGTAGCTGTTCTGTAGTTGTGTGGCGTTAGCGTGGCATTGGCATGGCTTGGCATTGATTAGTGTATTATGGAAAGTTGGCATAATTATATCCTACGCATGGCATTTACCTCTCTGTTCTAGGTGTGTTGCAGGCAACTTCTGGCACACTTGTGGTCAGCGGTTACCTGTTGCATTCTTATGTGTGCACTGTTGCATGTGCTCGTAGTTCTACTGTGCTTAGTACTTGAGGCATTCTGGTTTACTTTGAAGAATTTTTTTTTAACCTTTCCATTGAACTCCTGGTTCATTGTGACAGGTGCTTGGGCTGTGGCTGGGTGTAGCATGCAGGGCTCATGGCTGAGTTGTGGCTAGGGTAGGCTTTTGGGTTGTTCTTGCTACCTGGGTTTGGGGTCAGCAGCTCCAGCCCCTTGGTTCCTCGGCACCCAACCTCCAGCCCCTAGGTTCCTAGGCACCCAACCTTCAGCCCCTAGGTTCCTTGGCACCCAACCTCCAGCCCCTAGGTTCCTAGGCACCCAACCTCCAGCCCCTAGGTTCCTAGGCACCCAACCTCCAGCCCCTAGGTTCCTAGGCACCCAACCTCCAGCCCCTAGGTTCCTAGGCACCCAACCTCCAGCCCCTAGGTTCCTAGGCACCCAACCTCCATATGCAATGCAGGCATTAATAAATAATCACTAGCACTGATAGTTTATTTAACTATTAGTAAATTGATCAATTAGTGTAAGTTTTTTTTATGGATCCTTGCTAATTACCTGATATTAATTTTTGTTAAATTGATAACAATAAATGGCTATTAACACTTTTAACTTATGGGCAACATTTTTGTGGCATACTGTCTATTCTCTTAAACAGTCAAAGGATTCTTTTTATGTTGCAAAGAAATGTATTCATTGATCTCCCAGCTGATGACAANGGCACCCAACCTCCAGCCCCTAGGTTCCTAGGCACCCAACCTCCAGCCCCTAGGTTCCTAGGCACCCAACCTCCAGCCCCTAGGTTCCTAGGCACCCAACCTCCAGCCCCTAGGTTCCTAGGCACCCAACCTCCAGCCCCTAGGTTCCTAGGCACCCAACCTCAGGCCCCTAGGTTCCTAGGCACCCAACCTCCAGCCCCTAGGTTCCTAGGCACCCAACCTCCATATGCAATGCAGGCATTAATAAATAATCACTAGCACTGATAGTTTATTTAACTATTAGTAAATTGATCAATTAGTGTAAGTTTTTTTTATGGATCCTTGCTAATTACCTGATATTAATTTTTGTTAAATTGATAACAATAAATGGCTATTAACACTTTTAACTTATGGGCAACATTTTTGTGGCATACTGTCTATTCTCTTAAACAGTCAAAGGATTCTTTTTATGTTGCAAAGAAATGTATTCATTGATCTCCCAGCTGATGACAATGGAAAAAGTCTCTTTATTACAGAAAATGCCTTCCCTCTCAGAATCTATAGTTGTATTTTACACAGCTCTTTCATACACAACTTTTAATGTTTGATTTGTAAATTTATACTCTTGTATTTAACTTATCAGTAAATGTTTTTCAGCTAAGGAGACGCATCTACAAAGGAATTCCAAATTCTATGAGAGGAGAAACTTGGAAAAAACTTCTCGGAGTTGAAAGCGTTCCAAACAGGACCACCGTGTATGAGGTACATGTATCAACAGTATATTATTTGCAGATGTAGCACTGGTTTTGTGGGTATTTCCACCACCTGTGGAATGTTATTTGCATTGTATTGATAACAATGAATTTATTTATTTTTCTAGTCCATGAAAAGGATTGCCAGAGCTCAGTCTCCAGACATTCGGCAGATTGACTTAGATGTCAACAGAACGTACAGAGATCACATCATGTTTAGAGATAGATATGGCATCAAGTAAGAACACTGAAGCATTTGTTATCCTGAGGATTTTATATAATTCGTGCGCATGATAGCAGCTAGAGTACTGAACTGAAATAGAAATGTTCTATTTCAAGAACTGCTTGGTACATTTTTCATTCAATTTTAACTGCATGCAATTAATGTTTGTGCTTACTTTCTCATCTTATAGACAGCAAGCCCTGTTTCATGTTCTTGCTGCATATTCCATGTATAATGTGGTAAGCCTCAGTATATTGAGATAGAATAAATATATGAAAATCATATATTTGGAACTGCGGTATTTGATACGTATGATGCACGATCCTCTCAGTAGATAGCGCTATTTAAGCAATAGCGAAAATCAGACCTGAAAAAAATCAGGCCTGTACGGGACTCGAACCACTGACCTCTGCGATACTAGTGCAGCACTCTTACCAATTGAGCTAACAAGCCAACTGAGAGCAGGCCGTTAAGTTGATTCGTAATGAACCCGTGAAAGTGATAAATGCGATCAGTTGGCTTGTTAGCTCAATTGGTAAGAGCGCTGCACTAGTATTGCAGAGGTCAGTGGTTCGAGTCCCGTACAGGCCTGATTTTTTTCAGGTCTGATTTTCGCTATTGCTTAAATAGCGCTATCTACTGCGAGGATCGTGCATCATACACCTCAGTATATTGTAGAATAGCTTTCAAGGAATTTCACGTAACTAGAATTTCCAAGTTTAAAATTGTCCCCTACTAAATACTCGGTAATCTGGTTTCTCTTGTTTTAAGTGAACATGGTATTTGTGACCTCAATATCTAATAATACTCTCTGACAAGAACAAAAAAGCAACCATGTATCACAGCAAACACAAACTTCATAAAAACTGGAAACTTTGAATGGTCAGCATCAATCTATTTTGTTCCTGGTACGAACCATTGATTGATTACATGTACATTTGGTGTTGTAGGAGGTAGGTTACTGTCAAGGCATGAGTGGAATAGCTGCCTTGCTGTTAATGTATCTTAATGAAGAGGTAAGTGCTCTTGCTTTCTTGATTGTGTGCTTGTTATAAGTGACATTTTGCAAACTTGAGCCTTAGTACTGTAGGTTAACGTACGTAACAAGTCATGTACTGTATGGAGAGATCAATGGAAGAAATGCTTTTTGTAAATGGGGGAAGTATTGTGGCCAAAAGGTTTTTGTAGTTTTTTTTTTTATTAAATGTACAATTTTGTAGTTTTTGTCAATAAAAATATTTTTTATCCAGAGGTAGTGTTTTTAAAGAATAGGTCCAACTCTGTGGTACAATGCATTTTCTTATTTCTTTTAGGATGCCTTTTGGGCTTTGTCTGCACTCCTCACTGACAGGAAACATGCCATGCATGGTGGGTAATCATCAAACTTTTACCTCACTTGCTAATCTTGGAAAAAAAAACTAGGGGTTACTAACATGTAACTAACATTTATGTAGAACACTTTGCACATAAATGTTCCTAAGCTATGAGAGGAAGGAAGGCAGTAGAGGAGGTCCCTGGAAGTTAAATTCATTTAGATGTACAATGTAGTGAGCACTACATGAGTATTTAACTTAACTTAATGCTGCCTTTCTATAACATCAAGAAATGGTTTAGGTATTCTAGTCTTCTCAGATAGGGACGAATAAAATAATGGAGGTCCCATCTCCTCCAGGGTTAGGGGTAGGAGATGTTAATTTCCCGCGCATGAGATTACTGTGTGATGGATGTCCTTCCCCTGGGGTGGGATGGGTGGGTTGTTGTCTTGCATTTCATATATGAGCCTCTGGCTCGGGCAATATGGGTAACCATGCCCCATGTAAAGACATTAAAGTTTGATTACTATTACTATTTACTATTACTATTTACTTTTTTGAGTTATGGTAACGGTACAGTGTATCTTGGTACAGGGTCCTGGAATATCTCAAAAGTCCTGAGCCCAGTTGTTCGAAGGCCGATTAGCACTAACCCAGGGTGAAATCTTAATCCAGGTCTCTATATTTCTCTGATAAAAAGACGTTTTGGGATAATTTTCCCAATTTATTTCAAGGCATTTAATCATCAAATTGTAGACAAATGGAATCAAGGTGAATTTTCTTTTAAAGCTTTCAGATCTGAAATCAAATTTCACACTAACCCTGGGTTATCTTAACCTACTTTTGAACAACCCAGCCCTGGAATTTTATTTTGTCATTTTGCCAGGACTGGTTAGTCTTGGGAAAAGATTGCAGGTCCTGGAATGTCCTGAAAATCTGCGTAAATAAAGCAATAAAGCTTTAGAATTCACATTATAAGAAATGTATGTAGGCTGTAAGGAGAATTGATTTTGAAGTCGTGGGAATGAAAAGAGTTTAAGGTGAAATTTGGAGTCCTGGAAAAACCAATTTGAGCCCTGGAAAGATGGTTGAAAAATGTTGAAATTTGTTTCTAAGAAAGGGTATGAACCTTGTCAGTAATGTGTAGACCCAGTGAACCTTTAACTTTCAGCTTATCTTGATTAAAATTAGAAGTCTCCTGTTTGATATACTAGGGAGTGCATGGCAGTCAGCTGCAAGAATTACATGCCCTTATCGGGATCTTAGGGGTTGACCCTCTAACCCTTAAGAGTAACCTGCATCTTATTTCTCCCTCCAATATCACACATGAGAATTGAGGAAATGATCACCAACTACTGTATTTACTTGTGTATAAGTTGACCCTTTATGACCAGAAAATCAGCCCAAAAACTCACCCTTGACTTACAATTGAGTCATACACAAAGACCTGACCCAAGCAATCCAAGAAATTAGCATAATGATTGCTAGAAGTCCATTAGGAAAAGTGAGGTTATAAAACTAGTTCCAATTGTGTTCGAGTTTTGTCTGTTTTCAGGGCATTCTGCATCAACAAAGAAGTTTGAAATGATGAATTTTAAGTGACTTAAACACAGATTCACTGCTGTTTATTGTGCAGAATATTCGTTCTCATTGAATGATAGTACAGAAGTTTATTGACCTAGCAAATGCTGTTGTCATGTGGTCTTGTTTGTTACGTGCGATCCTTCAAAGCTCTTCAGTGTAGCTGTGTACCACTAAATTTCCTTTCAAACTCAAAATTAAGATGAAGGTTAGTTAAAAGCAAGAAGATTTCATCTTCAATGCAATTTAAAGATATGGCAAATTACTTCTCTAGGAAGGTGAAGTGCTCATGTATGCTTATAAAAAAAAAATTGTTGTGGTGATATAAACAAGTGCTATTAAACTTTGCAGCACACTGTTACCTTTTGCTCTTCAGTTTTTTTTTTTTTCATTACTTCAACGTGTTTTCGACACGTTCTCAGAAATAAGAAATTAACCTTTTGGGAAATTTCTATTGGTCTGAACTTTACTTCTTTACTAGTAAGAAATGATAAAAATCTGATTTTTGACCTTGAAAATGGGGGGTCGACTTGTACACGAGTTGGACTTATACATGAGTAAATAAAGTAAAGAAACTTTTGACTGCTAAGAAATATTTAAAGATGTTGGTCAGTTTGAATGGTGCCAATATCATTTTGTGCCTGATGTATGAAAAAAAATATGAAGCAAGATCTTGCTATTTACCCTTTACACCCTAATATCAGTATGGGTATTCTCCATACCTTCTCAGTAGATTTCCTAAGGTGCTGACAAGGAGGGTTTGGCTAAGAATGTAGTTAATTCTTCTTTGCTTTGCCTTGTCTTTTTGAGTGCTGCATACTTGATTGGTTGGTACTCTATTGTACCTCTGACTACTGTAAGTTGTAAAGTAAATTTTGTTATAATTTTCCTATTGAAGGTTTTTTTGTACCTGGCTTTCCAAAGCTGATAAGATTTCAAGAGCACCATGATAAGATTTTAAGGAAACTTTTGTCAAGACTTCACAAGAACTTGGTAAGTTCTTATCTTAATTAGGATGAATGGCACATTTTTATTATACATATTAGAAATAAAATTCATTCTGAAGGACTGAATATTTTGATTTTGAAAGCTTGAATTCATTTCACATTTCCCAATTGTCATCTGGGAATTTTAAGTCAAGGCAGTTTCTTGATTCAGTGAACTGTGAGTAACTTAGGTACATGTACTTGTCACTGTAAGATGAGCATTGATGATTGATAATGCTCCAGTGGGTTTTTTTTTTTTTAATTACCATTTTTTGTATGTTTATAAGAACACTGAATATAATACATGTAGTTCACAGATTAGCTCTTTCTTACTCCAGCGGATTTTTTGATTGAATTACTATTTTTTTATATAGTTATAAGAACACTGTGTATAATACATTGTAATTCCCAGAGTAGCTCTTTCTTGTATACATCAGTTTCCTTTGTTTGTCACTTTTGTTTCACTGTTGCATTTACTTACTTTGCCCTTTCTTCTAGGAAAGAGAAGGTTGTTATTCAACTCTTTATACTCTAAAATGGTTTATGCAGTGCTTTCTGGACAGGGTATGCCATAGTGCTGTTACTTGTATATAATTATACTTGCAAAAATATTCAGAATTTTTTATACTGAATGCTGTACTTTGTATAAAGAGGATTACATGCGAATAATGAACTGAAAGTATTGTGGCAGAAATAAGACAGGAAGAACAATAATAACCAGTTTACGTATGATGCACGATCCTTCGCAGTAGATAGTGCTATTTATGCAATAGCGAAAATCAGACCTGAAAAAAAAAAAAAAAAAAGTTTATTTACCCATTACACAAATTTTTTTTTTTTCCGGTCTGATTTTCGCTATGGCATAAATAGCGCTATCTACTGCGAAGGATCGTGCATCATACGTGTTTAATACCGCAGTTCAAAATATATGAACTTCATATATTCATTGTATCTGAAATAACCAGTTTCTTCGCGATATGCTGTGTGATGTTACAGGAATTTTTTTCTAGATTAAGGTCAAGATTAAAGCATAATGCATTTGTTTGTGGTCTTTTTGGAGCACTTTAATGAGAGTTAAGGCCTGGATCAGTATTGTTATTTGTTTGTGGTCTTTTTGGAGCACTTTAATGAGAGTTAAGGCTTGGATCAGTATTGTTATTTGTTTGTGGTCTTTTGGAGCACTTTAATGAGAGTTAAGGCCTCGATCAGTATTGTTATTTTTAGAAGAAATGTGTCTGTTATTGTGAATTCTAAAGATCTGAAAATATCTTCAGAAATTACGGTTAAGGATAGACTCATTTTGTGGACTCTTGGGTTTTAGCTTACTGTTGTTTCGTTTCATTTTGTATATCTTTCGCATGTCATCATGTTAGAAGGAAAAAAATTACTTCATTGAAAGAGTCCTTTTTGACTTGAATTTTCAGGTTCCATTTACATTAACACTAAGATTGTGGGACATATTCATGTTGGAAGGGGACCGACTGTTGACTGCCATGGCCTACAACATCATGAAAATGCACAGAAGTAAGTTAAGATGAATAAGTGGATGCATTTAGTTACTTGCTGTCTAGCTGACTGGTTAGTTGACTGACGAAGGATTTTTGACGACCAGACTGACTGCTTAACTGAACTCTAAACCAAGTTTTTCATCGAGTGATTTGTTGATGGACGGAAACATTTTGAATATCGTGGCTATTGGATAATTTTTACCGCCTTTATTGAAGTCGAACCTCGATTATCCGGACTCGTCTAGACCTCGGTGAATAGTCCAGATAATAGAGAGTTCGGATAATCGAAAATATGAATATTTATGCGATACGAATGTAAACAAAAGTATACAGCAAAGAAAACATCATTTTAATTGTGAAATCTACACAGCCTGTATGTATTTACACTGAATAAAAACTTTCAGTTCAGGTATTTACAAAGGTCTAAAATGTTCAACCACGTTTGTTTGCTTCAAAGACTTGTAGCTTCATTGCATTGCGAAGTCCATCATTCGTGTCAGGGGCATTAACTGCGCATGCAGTGTCAATATCGTTCTGTGATTCCATCCACCGCCGACGAGTATTTTTTGAAACATTGCGCTGCCTCTTTAATCAATACTAGTTTCTCGTCCTCGCCCTCATCTTCTTCATCGCTACATACACTTTCGCTTTCCGACGAATCTCCGACAACGGTGGCTAAAATCTCTTCATCAGACATTTGCGGTGAATTCGGGAGCTCGTTTTCCAATTAAGCCAGTCTTTCACATCGCGAGCATTAGGCATTTCCTCATTGTCAAGTTGCTGCTGTACATGTTCCAACATTTCGACCATGGACTCAGCAATATTATCCTCTCTGAATTCGGGCTGTGAATTTGACTCGATATTGAAAAGCGCACAGGACAGTACGCTGTTTCAAGAGTCTTTTGAAAGGATTATCGGGCTTTTTGCGACTTTGAGTTTTCACGATCACAACTAATTAATAATCATGGGAAAATTGGGACCAGAGATAAAAATCAGGTTAATCGAATAGTCCGGATAATCGAGGTTCGACTGTATTAGTAAATTTTTAGAACCCTGAATACCATTTTGTACTGTACTGGATACTCACAACATGTATAATGTGTGCTACACCATTAGTTTACACCATTAGTTTACACCATTAGTTTACACCATCAGGAAATGAGTGGCTGTTTCTGGAGTATAATCGTTAATTCTTAAAGTGATGATTTTGCCGAGTGAATCGGTGATTTGTGCATGTACATGTTAAGACACCTGCAGACGTAGATTTGAATAGTGTTGGAGTAGTTGAGGATATATAAACGAGTTCAACAGGATTTGAATCTTTGTTTTTGCGATCCTGCTACGATGCTCTTATGAACTCTGCAGTAGACTTCCTCCTCACAAGACTTCTGATGCCTGTTATTTGTAGCCTGTGAGAGGTCCTAATTATCTGCGCTGAAGAACGTGCTTTTCTCACGGGAAGACTTGAGACGAGTCGGAGAGAGGTTTGTAGGGGGTCTGGGGGCGACTCTGGGACCCTCATTTTTGGTAAGGGCTTATGCTTTCCCGTTGGCGAAGAAAAGCTTGTGCTGAAGCGCTAATAGGGCTGGCCTGCTCGCGAGCTAAATTATTTCATAAAAGAAACTATATGAGCACATATCCGTTCCAGGCACAGTGTATGGTAAGGTTTACTCAGCTTTGTTTCTTTACAGAAATTTTCATAAAAATGGGCCTCGAGGAAGTCGTGCAGTTCCTACAAGAGAAAATGCATGCGTATAATTACGACGACGATGAAGTAGTCGAGTTGCTCCAGGCTGCGATGTTCGAGTTGAAACGTTTGGGACTGGACACTCCACCGGCGCCCTCTAGGGCGGAATTCCCGTCACTCCCTCCGGGCACAGCATTAAAACGAGGCGTTTTCCAAACAGCGTCTGCGCGCGCACGCAAGAACAAAGAAAAAGATAAAATTATCCGCGTGCCTATGGACAGGCCTCCTTCTCCAGTCTCTCCCGAAATATCACCTCTTCGTGGGGTTCCGACGAATTTGTCGCATTCACCGCCATCTCATATGAATCGTAGCGAGACTTCTGTTTCGACATTTCCCGGTACTCCAACGGAGTACCGAAGTGAAGCATCGGTATCAACGATAATAGAAATCAAGCGATACCCTCAACTACCGGCAAGTTACCGAGGAGACTTGAATAATCAGCGCACAACGCACGACGACCCTCGATGGTTAGATCATCGGAAGAGCGATGGACATGAGGTGGAGATCTTGCGGTACAAACCACCAGATGGACGTATAGTGTATCATTCCGAGAGCGTTCTCCCCTCTTCCGACAGCGCTACGGACGGCAGCATGCGGAGGCGAAGAGTTAACGAAGGTTCTTACAACTCAATGTCAACATTTCGGCCAATCAATGGAGACATGGACGCGCTTGCGATGGCTTCCAAGCCCGGCGGATCACCTGTTTGGAAACATCACTCGAACGAACACCAGGTCACTTTAACTTTAGTTTAAGCTAGCTTAACAGGGACAAGCAATATCTTATGCTGCTTCTGTGAATGATGCTCGTCAATCGCTCACAAAACAGTAGATAACATGAGTGATCCATAATTCAATAGAGCTCCTTGTGCACGTACACAGCTAACGTGGGAAAGGTGCAGTATTAACCCTCTAATTCCCAGACGTGATAAGCATTAAATTCTCCCAACAATTTCTATTCATTATCCAGTGAACTAGTGAAGAGAATAGACAAACTAATCAGCTGGAGGTTGTTACCCTCACAATACTCCAAATTCTCTTTAATGATTGGCAAGGAAATGAATGATCTTTAGAAGGGAGAGTTACCAACCACATCTTGGGAGTTAAAGGGCAATGAACCAATAGGGCAGTACAGTTCAGGGGACCCTAGAAAGTAGAGTACGTAGGTTTTGAATTATGGGGCCAACAGGGGATTAGCAAGTAGGTCGCGCTTAATCAGGTCTGAATTTCTAAATGGATAATCAAAGGCATGGCCTTGAAGAATCGAACACGGAAATATTTAGATGTGAAAACATCAATTCTCTTTTGTAAGTATGATCTTAGGACTTTCTTAGAAAATCACAGGTCGCCAAAAGTTCGCCTAATGCAAGTGTAATCCGAAAAGAGTCATTTTAGTAAGGCTTTGCTTACTCAGTTTTCTCAGGAGGCCAAGTTGCAATTCCACGACGGAGTAGACAACTGCTTGTTTCACATTTGCATTGTTTATCAGGAAGTGAGGATAAGGATGTGGGTTCAAATGTCTTAATTTGCATATTTTTAGCATACAGTGTTATCTTGGATGCACAGTAAAATTGACGAAATTATAGCTGCAAGGAATACTAGCCCTTCGGTGAATTTTATCAGCGTCAAATATTTAACTTGGCAAGGTTCGGAACACTTTGGATGTACACAGTATAATTCCTGTGAAATTATTTCGAGTTAGGTGGGCAGTACGGCTTCTGTTGAATGCATAGTATTATGCAGAGAGCATTTATTTTAGTTTCAATCGAGAATTAATTGGAGTATTACGCAATGGATTTTTGTAGCTATAGTAAAAGCGAATTTAAGGAAGTTCAACAGATATTGTATTTAAAGAAATTTCTGTAGGCCGTTTTCCGGAGACACTCTTGGTGTGAAAAAAAAAACGTTTGTCTTTTATTTTTAATATTTACATCTCTCTGCGAATGCCTGGAATAGAAATGGCTATCACTTATGTTTATACTTTCCAAACGGGATTAAACAATTTTCAGTTTCGAATGTAACAATTGCTTGTCATCGACCTTTTTTTCTTTGCGGACTTCCCTTTTTTTTAAGGACTTGAAATCCTTTGAACGATGTTACGGATTTACTTGAAATATCTGTGGATAGTTTGGAACTGTTCTAAAATCCTCAAAGCACCACAGCTTCTTAACTCTCTTTTCCGTTAACCTTTGCTACTCTTCTCAGCAGGCAAACGCATCAAGGGAACTAGCCTAATATTCTCTGAATAAAATTGCATGACTTCTGCCTACTAACACAGCTAATTTCCGTATCTGCAACTTAACAATCTTATACTTTAGTGTGCTTACATCACTTCCTAAAATCATTCTTGGCGTGATGTCACTTTCAACAATACGTTTGGAGTCCTGGGGGGCCCGGCTACGATAATAGCGAATCTTCAGGTTTTTATCTCTCGCCACGAACCAATTAGTTACCCTAAATTTGTTCCACGTGACTGTTGTCTAAAGAATTGACTCTGCAAACTATTGCACTTTTGGAATTGAGTGTCTTGACAGACTACTGGACGCATGTACAGTGGTACCATATCTTTGCACGCCTAACCTCCTGTTGGCACCATAAGCAATGGAAACACTGTAGAAGATAAAGGCAAGTGAAACCTCCATCATGCACGCTACATAAACATGTATGTTGTTCAGTAGTAACGTTCGACTCGTCGCGCACTACACAATTATCAGCTCATGCTTTCCGTAATGTCTAACTCTCACTTCTTACTTCCTAACTGATGGTTTTCCTGAAGTTATGGTTCGGCGTCAATACTTTCTGTTTTGATTTCTGACAGGTCAACCTGGCTTTGCCAAAATCGAAAGCTTTTAGGAATCATTGAAACCTTCGAATTATAAGTAGTTTGATCTTTCCTTGAATGTGTATACGCCCTCGCCCAATTTGCGGAAATATGTTATTATAGGGCTGCTTTCTTCATTTTTTCTCCTAGTGTTTACGAATGCTCTTTGTTTTGTTACAGGGAAGGAGCTTGCGCAGTAGCCAGGCTGGAAGCCAATCCAGTGTCAGCAGTAGGAACAGTCAATTCAGCTTACAGAATGTCACGTGGGAAGCTTCTAAAACCAATCTGTTTGGTATCACGGAGCTCTGACTTATCATGCTGGGATCCCGACAGAGACTGTCCTAAGATTTGGATATTTATGTCTATTTTAAGCCTGCATCACCCATGCTCGTTGTAAGACGCTTATCCGTCTCACTTTTATTGGATTTATTTTTACGCCCCACTCTTCTCCCTTCGCAATCCCCTATCCCCTCAAAAGAGAAAAACGCGAATGTGTATGGATGTGTGAGTGCTTACGTGGTCG